TGTATTATATATAGTAAAATTAAATATGAAATACACTATATTATATATTATAGTATGTTTCAAATATCATATTTAAATTATTACCATATATTTATTTTATATTATTATATATAATATATATTTATTTATATATTGTGCTGTATAATATATTTTACAGATGTAATAGATGTTTACACAACAATATATATTATATATTGTTTTATGTCTAATATAAAAATAATATTTAAATAAACATGACTTGGTTGTCGAATACATGTACCTAGAACTTCTTGAATTTTTTTTACATTCCAGCAAGTTATGAAACATATACACTCAAAACTTCTTTAATTAACTTCTTTCTTTCCAACAAACAAAAATTACTAAAAACATTTACCCTCCAGTTATCAAACAGGCCATATATAGCCTAAATAAGAAAGAAACCATAAGTCACAAGGTCCAGGTCCTTGACCCCTACTCGTTGTGGAGGACGGAATAGCGGATCATGATTGAAAACCCAAATCACAAATTCTGATTGGCCTCTAGCATGCCAAAGTCACCCACTAAACTCAATTCAAGAGGGCGTCAGTGAGATATGGTGTACTGTACACTAGTGGTATATGATCACAAAAATACTCCAAGAAATTGGGCCTCAAGGCACCCACGGATGATTCAAAGCGGCACAAAACCCTTTTATCTCCAAATTTCATGCCAACCGATCGGGCCCTACCATAAAGATGAGGTTGCACGCTAGTCAAGCTTTGCGTTAATGATGTACGGGCAGGTAAGGTAAATGTTTTTTGGAAATTGAAAGTTTTCTTTGTTGGAAAGAAAGAAGTTATGGATTTCTATGTTTGATAATATGTTAGAATGTTAAAGAAGTTCTGGGTTTGTGTGTTTGATAACATGTTGAAATGTTAAACCCAGAAGTAAATTATGGGTTTCTGTGTTTGATAAGCTGAAATATTAAAGAAGTTCTGGGTTTGATAACATGTTGAAATGTTAATGAAGTTATGGGTTTTTGTGTTTGATATGAAATTTTAAAAGATATTTTAAGTACCTGTATTTGATAACGTGCTGGAAGATTATGAAGTTTTGGATAGCTGTATTTGATTAGCCATAAAAGTTATTAGGAAGATGTGAAATCTTAAGGTTGAGATCTAGTGAGAGAGATAGAGTTTAATTGATGAGTGAGAGAATCGTTTTAGAGAGAGAAGCATTGGATTTTGGATAGAGGACTATGGTTCTTATATATATATATATATATATATTTGTACAAAATTTGAAGTAGATGTTGCATGATATATTTCATTGCACTTAAAAATTCAAGCAATCTCTAAACAATGTCAAGCACAACCTCATTTCAATATCAAATATAATATTTTATAGGTTCACGAGACCTCAATTAAGTATCCAATACAATATTTTATAAGTTCACGAGATTTTACATGAAAATAAAAAAGACAAATACAAGAAGAAGAACATTAGTTAAACAAAAAATACAAAATATGTCTTAAGTGGCTCAGGTCAACAATAGAAAAATGATATAATTAGGGTTTTTAATTTTTTTTGTTTTACTATTTATAGGTGATTACAATTTAGCTTTTAAGTTATACTGGATTTTTAATCTTCTTTAAGGATATTTATGTCGCTTTCAGTTGTAGAGCATTAAGGAGTATAATTTATGAAGAGTTAAAATTAATTAGGTATCTTACTTAATAGAGAAAAAATATTGTAGTACCTATTTACAAGAACAAATGAGACATTCAGAATTATGCGACCTAAGGATCAAGCTTATGAATTATACTATGAAGCAATGGAAGAGAGTGATTGAGCAATGATTAAGGCATGAAACGAGTGTCTCTGAAAACCAATTTGGTTTATGCCAGGCAGGTCCTACTTAGACAATTGATTGAGAAGTTTAGGGCGAAGAGAAAAGAACTATACATGGTCTTTATTGATCTAGAGAAAGCATATAATAGAGTGCCTCAAGATTTGATTCGATTAGAGTTGGAAAAGAAAGAGGTTTTCAGGCACTGCATCGACTTGGTGAGAGATATGTATAATGGAGCACTTACTAGTGTACGAGCAACTAATGGAAAGACGAGTGAGTTTTCAGTAACAATAGATCTACATCAAGGGTCAGCATTAAACCCATGCCTATTTGTCTTAATTATAGACGACTTAACTAGACACCTACAGGGTGCATGTTGTTCGCAAATGATATAATTTTGATCGATGAGAATCGAAACGGCATCAAGACAAAATTAGAACTTTGGAGGCATGCTCTAGTATATCAAGGTTTTAAAATTAGTCGAATTAAAACACAATATATGGAATGCAAGTTTAATAACAATATGAATAGAGATGAGGTAGTAGTTAAGATTGATAGGCAAGAAGTACTAAAAAGACCGCACTTTTGATATCTTGGATCGATAATATAGGAAAATGGAGAGATTGAAGAAGATGTCTCACACAGAATTAAAGCTGGGTGGGTCAAGTGGAGATGTGCAACCATAATTTTATGTCATCGCCACTAGTGTTGGAAAACCCGAGCGATCTAATCGCTAACTGCCCGATTATAAGTATCAAATACAATATTTTATCGGTTCACAAGACCTCAATTAAGTATCAAATACAATATTTTATAGGTTCACGGGATGTTACATGAAAATGAAAAGGACAAATAAAAGAAGAAGAACATTAGTTACACAAAAAATACAAAATATGTCTTAAGTGGCTCAAGTCAACAATGGAAAAATGATGTAATTAGGGTTTTTAAATTTTTTTTGTTTTACTATTTATAGGTGATTACAATTTAGATTTTAAGTTATATTGGATTTTTAATCTTCTTTAAGGATATTTAGGTCTCTTTCAGTTGTAGACCAATGAGGAATATAATTTTTTTTTATTTTTTTATTTTTTTATGAAGAGTTAAAATTAATTAGGCCTCTTACTATAAAGAAAAAGTATTGTAGTACCTATTTACAAGAACAAATCAGAAATTCAAAATTGTGCAACCTAAAGATCAAGCTTATGAATTATACTATGAAGCTATGGAAGAGAGTGATTGAGTAATGACTAAGGCATGAAATTAGTGCATCTGAAAACCAATTTGGTTTTATGCCAGGCCGGTCAACAACCGAGGTTATTTTCCTACTTAGACAACTGATTAAGGAGTTTAGGGCCAAGAGAATAAAACCTCTACATGGTCTTTATTGATCTAGAGAAATCTTATAATAGAGTACCTTAAGATTTGATTTGGTGAGTGTTGGAAAAGAACGGAGTTTCCAAGCACTACATCGACTTGGTGAGAGATATGTATAATGGAGCACTTATTAGTGTACGAGCAACTAATGGAAAGACGAGTGAGTTTTTAGTAACAATAGGTCTACATCAAGGGTTAGCATTAAACCCATGCCTCTTTGTGTTAGTTATAGACGACTTAATTGAGCACCTACATGATGAGGTACCGTCGTGCATGTTGTTCACAAATGATATAATTTTGATCGATGAAAACCGAAGCAGCATCAACACAAAGTTAGAACTTTAGAGGGATGCTCTAGTATATCAATGTTTTAAAATTAGTCGAACTAAGACACAGTATATGGAATGCAAGTTTAATGACAATATGAATAGATATGAGATAGTAGTTAAGATTGATAGGCAAGAAGTACCAAAAAGACTGCACTTTTGATATCTTGAGTCGATAATATAGGAAAATGGAGAGATTGAAGAAGATGTCGCACATAGAATTAAAACTGGGTGGGTGAAGTGGAGATGTGCAACCATAATTTTATGTCGTTGCCACCAGTGTTGGAAAGCGGGGTGATTTAACTGCTAGCCGCCCGATTAGATCGGAACTGGCCATTGGCCAGTTCCAGTTTTGGGCAGTTTTGGTGAGCGACCAGTATTTAAAAAGAAAATTTAATATATATATATATATATATATATATATATATATATAAATTCTCAAAAATAAGAAATTTGATTTGTGATGTGTGTTTTTAATATTCTTTACATTATGGTAAAGATTAAAAATTGTTTTGTATCATTAATACTCTACTTTAATTAAAATTCTAATTAGTTAAATCCATCTTTCATTAATTTTAACTTCATTTGAATGTATTTTGTTTAATCAT